GACTCTCACCAAAATTCACAGAAAAATACCAAGTACTCGATTTTTAATGATTTTTCTAAGTTTCTGGTCAGATCTTCAATTTTGCAATTAACATAGCTACAGATCTTAGATTAACTTGAAATTTTTACACGACATGTAAAATCATCAAAGGGTTGTACAGTTCAAATTTCACAGCAATCGGACGGTTATAAAATTTTAAATGATTTTTCAAAGATCCAGCAATACAATACGATTCAAAAATGCACAACACTTAAATTAACCAATAATTTCGTCTAAGGCCTTCATCATAAGGCCAAAGACTTCAAGTGTTCCATAGATCCACAGCACATAGCACAAATTAACAAGAGATCCCATTCGAATAACATAATCAATTAAAATATGAGCAAAACCGATCATATAATGAACTTAAACATAAGATCTCCTCACAAGGCTCTATTATCAAGCATATAACTACTAAAATAAAGAGAGATATCAGCCTTGTACCGTTCTCGGGATAAATCGCACGAGAGAAGGGTAGGAGGGCCGAGGACAGTCGCGGGCGAGCGGAGGAGCGGCCTTGCGGGCGTGCTGGTGGCTTGCGCGGCTGCCGGGCGTCTCGCGAGCTTCTGCTGGGCGCCAGGTTCGACGGAGGGACACACGAACGGAGGCCTGGTACTCTCCAACCACCTGGACGTGCGTTCGGGGAACTTGCGGGACGGCGTGGCACGGATGGCCTGGGTGCGGTGAGCGAAGGCCGAGAGAGAAAAAAAAAAGAAAAAGGGCGAGAGAGAGAGAGATCGGGAGAGAGGGAGAGATATGGGGAGNNCTGAAAATGATGGGGAGAGGGGGAGAGGATCTTCTCTCTTATATAGCTAGGTATTGTGACTTGCCTACCAAGTCACTTACCATAACAAGCCACAACACAAAAAAGGAAGGGGAGGGAGAAGGGGGCGGGCGAGGCGCGGCTTAGGCGCGGGCTTGGGCGGAGCTCACGGGCTCGCGGTCTCGGGTTCGAATAAGCTCGATTGGACGGAAAAAAAAAATAATATTACAATAATTTAATTAAATATTTTAAAATAGTGATTAATAATTAAAATAAAATACCACAATTATAAT